CGAGTCGGTGGAAACTTTCAGTGGAGTCAGACTTGGCTAACATAAAATATAAAAGAAACTGACCATTTATAAAGATTCAGCATAGCAAATGAGTGTACGGTCCCAGCCGGGGATGCACTCACTGGCAGAATGCAGTGGGCATGGGAGGCCTGAGAGGGAGCCCAAGCGGTCTCCCGGGGGCGCCTTCATGTCACGTGCACTCGGGACCCCGGGCGACCGCAAACGCCACGACGCTACCGAAAATCTTCACATTAATATTCCCGCTCTCAAGCTTCCAGCCGCATCTTTCCAGATCTCTCCCTTCATATACCTGGCTGCGACGGGAGTCACCGCATTCCTCCACGACAACAATGACGACAACGACAAGCCAGCGTTGTCTCAGCTACAAGCTCCAGCTTCAAGACCAGTCGTCCAGAGGTACGCAATAAAGAATCAATAGACGAGGGCTAACTACTTTACATGTTTCACGGCCATTTCAGACCCATTCACTTGCATGTTGGATAGGAGACAGGCCGCCGCTACATCATGATGAAACCCAGCTGCATCCTGGGGTTCTGTGTTATCGCCGGCTGGTGTGCGACGATTGGAGGCAACGCGATGTTGTACGGCGGGTTAGGGAGACCAGCGAGTACCTGGACGATTGGCGGGAGGTAGGTAGCGACGGGTGGATGCTGGTGTGCGTCGATCGGAGGCAGCACAATGTTGTACGGTGGGTTAGGGAGATCAGCGAGTACCTGGGCGATTGGCGGGAGGTAAGTCGGCGCGGGCGGAGCTAGTGCGGCGAGCGGAGGCGGTATGACGACGAAGGCACCTTGGGCCGGCTGCGCAGCAAGCGCGACGGCGGCAGGCATCGGTGCAGCGACTGGCGCGGCTTGCACAGGGGCAGGCAGAGCAACGACCGCAGCTGGCGCAGCTATCGGGACGTTAGCAGCACCTGCCGCATGGACTCCGTCACGGTTCTCCACATGGCAAGATGGATGGCAGAAGGATGGGCGGGGTGGCCTGCGCCTGTTGCGCTTAGGCCTGAAACCTTCATCGTCATCGTCGTACTCGCTGGGGCCGGGGGCCGCTTTTTCCTTGTTCGCGGCGTGCCTCTTCCGGGGCTCTTCATCGACATCCTCCTCCTTGACATCCTCCACCTCCCGTGCTCTCTTCTTTCCCCTCTGATTCTCCGTCTTGATGGCGTCCCGGTAGCCGCTTGTGGCGAGTGAGGCTGCGACGTGGTCAGCGCGTCCCGAAGGTGCGTCGTATCGGAGGTGGTAGTTGCGAGACAAGGCGGCGCCTTGTCTGGCTGTATCGACTGTTTGTTGGTTCGACGCGAACTGGCCAGCGGTGGATACCGCTGTACGAGTCCCTCGTCGAACGTTTTCGTCTCTGGGTGCTTGGCCGCTGTATTCAGCGACATGCGGCGGCTGTCCAAGATTTGAGCGAGCTAGAGCTACGCAGGGAGCGTCAATATTTCTCCAAAGCGAACAACAGATAAGGGGGACTCACCTCGGTTCTGCAGGAATGTTGGCAGAGGGCTCACGACGCGATATTCGTGGTGCTCAAGCGGCGGTGAGACACGTCGACGAACAGGCGGAAGTTGACCTTGCGCGTCGTCACTGTCGACGTCGCCGCCGTAGCCACTGTCGTCATCGCTGGACTGGCCATCTTCTTCAACGTCGGACTCGGTGGCGTAGCCATCGTAGTCGCTCGCGGCGCCGAACAGCTCGGCATCCGGTCGGTCCCGTTTCGCTTCTCTCTCTGCGAGCTGGTCGCTCATGCTGACGCGGTCCCGCTGCGCGACACCACGGAGGTCGTGGGGAGCGTCGGATGCGGGAGCATTGGTTGTTTCGAGCCGGTGATCGAGCCACGCGATTGACATGTCCAGGTCGTGTAATTCCGCGAGTGTGGACGTTGTGGCCGGTGAGGCTGGCAATGTGGCGTGAGTGTTGTTCGTGGGCATTGTGGCCTGGTTGTGGGGCGGTTGGTTGTATGTGATGCTTAAATGTTGTGAGCGCGAAAGGGGTGCTTTTTGAGAGTTGTATATGATTGTTGTGCGAGTCGCGAAGGCGTGAGTGGTAGGATCGAGGAGCGATGTGGCCTTATTGTCGACGTTGTGGTTATGGAGACGCGTCAAAACGGTGCTTGTTAGTCTGAGTGACACGACGCGGCTTTCAGAACGTGAAGGCGACGTTTGCGGGCAATATAAATGTCGCGAGATGGGATGGAGGATGTAGTTTGGAACGGAGGAGGACAAGACGGGCGCTGCAATTTATATCATCCGCGGGCACCATTTGTTCCGTCACTAGCCTGCATCAATACGGCTTCCAAGTTTAGGAATATTTGCTTTTGCTTCCTGCGAGTGGCTCACGCAAGTTCCTTTGTTTTGAATTTGAGGTGAACACGGCTGATGCGCATGAGCGCTGAGCACGGTTGTTGAACAAACAGAGGGGTCCATCCTACCTCTCAGCCCTCACTGTAACTCACTGAGAGGGATGTTCGCTGGTGCAGCTTGAGGTCAAGTCACTCCAGTGCCGTCGCTTCCTCGGGTCAATTCTTGGTTATATGTACTATGTGTAGCATACTCACGCCACGCAGCTTTCGAGAGCCTGCATATCTTATGCATCAGGATTGCCGTTCTGAAGTCGGGTGGATAGCTTAGCGTCCAGACGAGGCTATTGCGGTTCGGGGTCTAGGCTCCAGGCGCTCACGTGAATGTAGGACCCCGATTGACCGGGGACGCCACGACGCTACCGCGGACATTTGAAAATCCTCGCTTCTTCTGAGGATCGGCAGTTTGGTTGGACGACATACGACATCTCTACCCTTGCTAACGGGTATAGCGTATTCAGAGATGCACTTGCAAAGAATCAGTGGAATTGCCGAGTGGTTTAACTCGCGGCTTTAGTTTTGAGAACGCCATCAATGTGCCATCACATTGTGAAAACATACTTTTCCAGCTCTTCGGCATGAAATACGTGTTCTATCGTGTTCTGGCATCACTCTGCAAGAGTTCTAGAAAGGATAATTATGCCATGATTTTTCTGCTAATCTAAGACACCCTGAAGGCTTTGAACTGCGCGCTGTATCAAGGAGTGGTGGTGTATCAAGGGGCGGTGGATAACTGTACCTACGCTCTATTGTGCGAGAAATTCAATCAGTGGCTAGGGGTTCTTTGTTTGCACACTTTGCCTTCGAACGTTCCCCGTATGGCTTATCGACTGAGCAACTATATCGTCATATTTGAGTCCAAAGCATTCGTACAACGGTCTCCGCACTCGCGCTATCACTATCGCATGCATGAACGACAAATTCGTCAGCATAATCTACTACTGCTTGTGTCGGTGGAATATACGCGTTTAGCATTCGGAGTCCGCACCGTCAATCCCATGATCTCCCCCGTCCCTCAGGCTGTTCTACGCACGCTGCCTCTGGTCTCGCCAGCTCGTCCATCGATTTTGTTCCCCTTACCCCTCCCATCGCATGACGTCGCGGCTTGTGCTTGGTGGCCGATAACGAATACCGCGAGCTCCGACGTCCGGGCGCATCTATGGCTGGCACCGAAGAACCCTCGGGTGACATTGTGCGATGCGGCTCGGCGTGGGCGAGTCCTTGTGGTGGGTTGGATGGTGTGAGCAATTCGGTCGGCGATGATGGCTGCGGTCCAGACAATGACGACAGCCCCTAGTTCGGACAGCTGTTCCTCACCATACGGCGCATCTACGACGGAGGTGGACCTGACGGTCTTCGAGAGCAGTTCGCACTGGACATAGAAGTCGCTGAGTCATCCTGGCAGTTCTTGACGTGACTTATCCAGGGACGGCCATCGACCTCGCATTTGGACCCGTACTTGTTGTGTGCCGTCTCGAGAGCGCTGCGTAAATAATCCCGAATTTTATCCTGGTGGCCGTAGAGCTTGTCCAGCTTGTACACCTCCTCAAGCGCATGCAAGAGTCGCCTGAAGAGTGCGCCACATCGCTCTGCCAGCGTTGTTCTCTTCCAACACAGCTGCTGGATCCACTCCCGATGGTCAGCTCGGACTTCAACGCCGTTGTCGCCCTGCGAGATGCCTGCCGCGGCATCGACCGGTGCAGCAGACTCAACAGACATGACGTCTGCTGCCCCGATCATCTTCTCCAGCACGTCGACCACGACCTCCTGAGATGCCACTTGCATGTTACTGCGGCTGAGCCACCGCGTTGCTGTGGCGATAAACATCTCAACGAGCTCCTGATCAGCATGTGTGAACTCGGATGGGAAATAGTTCGCCAGGAGCAGCTTGCAATCGGCAGCTGTGGTGTCCCCTTGCTCAAGTACTGAAAATATACCCATGATATATTAGCAAGCATTCTCTCTAAGCTAGTAGGCATGTGCTTACCCAAGTGTCTGTCGGTCACAGAGCATGTGATCTTGTAGGCTCGTATAGCATCAATGTATAGGGCAGCTCTCAGAGGCGACGCAAAGGTGGGTGGGTACCTGGAACAGTTCAGGACAAATTGGCGGAGGTACCGCCGCTCTTCGTAACCTGACCTAGATGCCTCAGAGCTATCTTCGTCAGGTTGAGCAGCAGCACGAATGAGGCAACCCAAGGTTCGCTCTTGCGGGCGACAGTTGGCTTCATGGCATTGGGTGATGTACGCGATGACATGAGAATTCTGTGACGACTTTGCAACTCGGGATAGCGCTCGCAGGTAGTGATGTGCGGGCCCGGCTTGGGCTCAAAGCCCGGGCTTGGGCTTGTGGCAGCGTCGAGCCGAGCCCTGAGCCCAAACCGCAGGCTTAAGCCCGGGCTTGCTCACAATACAATGAATATTATGGTGCTATGAAAAGGGAGTATATTTGGATGTAGTAGATTATTACTGCGTGTACTCACTGAATTCAGCCTCCAGAAGATGTACACTCGGGGAATAAGTCGAGTCGCAGCGAAGCCCACGAGCGCG